GTGTGTGTGTGTGTGTGTGTGTGTGTGTATCTATGTTGCTGAGGAATAAACTCAAGGCCCTGCGCATTCTGAGCAAGTGCTGTACCACTTAGCCACAACCCTAGCCTGTGTGACTTAACGCTCAAGAATCTATAGTTAGAAGCACAGAACTACAGCATAGACAAGATAGTACAATTTCTTTCCCTTTTTAACTATATAACTTACTTTTTATTCAAACTATCTTGCACTCATGATGGATGTTTACTGGGTTTTGCCACACACTTTAATTTTGGAGGTTAAATGACCTTATACACGCAAGCTGTGTGAATAGTTTTCCCCCCACAGAAACAGTGATTGGAGAAAGATGAAATATCTTGGGAAGTAAGTGGTGTCTTTAATTGAGAAGCTAACAAACTGTCTAGGTACATTTCTCCCCCAAACCACCACAAACTCAGTAGTTACTGCAATGTGTGTTTTTTAAAATCTTAAGTGTGATATACATTTCTCAATGTGGCTGCAACTTTGAATATTGTAATCATCATGAATTAATTAGATCAAAAGTCATGATGGACTTATATTACAGGGAGGAAATGAGAGGCGGTGGGTTTATCTGTGTGGTGTTTCAATACACTGAGTCCTCAACTTTCATATTAAGAAAATCTAGAGTTATCAATTAGGATTTAAAAGTCTTAATAAAATAACTTACACTGATACCAATGTATTCAAAACTATGAAATTACATTTAAAAAACCCATTAACATAAATAAATTGCTAAAAGGTGGAATGAACTAAAGATGGAATGAGCTAAAGGTGGAATGGCTAGTTTGAACTTTTACAAGTGAATAAGAAAACCAAGAAAAGATGGGTATGGCAAGAGCAGGATCCTGCATTCAATCCCCGGTACCCAAAATAAAAAAAAAAAGATGGATAAATATCATACACAAGCAGTTTTTCTCACAAGGGCCACCCTGTATTTGTTTTGAAAGAGCAGTGATAAAGAGCAGAGTGGCGAAATTATCGGTGGCTTCTCACAGTACTACACAAAGGTGGGAATGAACTACGGGAGAGTTGCACGCAGCATTTGGATAGATCTCTCAGTCAGGATGTTGAGCCAGAGCAGGCGAAGACCAGCGAATACACTTGCGCTGTTTCCATTAGCATAAAGCGCAGGTCACAGCAAGGGCCAACGCTCAGGTACAAATCAGGCTGCGCTTGGTGGAGGGTGGACAGCAGGAGTGGGGAGGTGGAGCCCGTCGCCAGCGCTCTGGGTGATGACAGCTACGCACCTCATCAACCGGACGGTGGTCACAGGAAGCTTGGCTTGTGAGAACACACTGTGTCGCACTCCTGGTTAGGTAGGCACTTTCTCTGTGGTGACTGCGTTTGAGTAATAGGAGTAATAAATATCATTATAAACAATATGATACTAAGTATAAGCTTTTATAAATAGTCTAAGAACTGTAAGAGATAAATGCTCAATTCTTATTTTCTATACCTGGAAATTAAATTTTTTAAATCTAAAAAAGAAAAAAAATCAACGGACAGCAGTAAGAGATTCTATCTATCTATCTGCCTATCTATCTATCTATCTATCTATCTATCATAAAGATATATCTATCTTCATCAGTCATCATTTATCTCACTTTAAGATTATTATC